TACTAATAGCTTCTTGTTACTACTAGTAAGGCACTTGTTACTAGTAGCGATGCACTTGTTACTAGTAGCTTCCTACCCCCCCCTAGACGGACATGGTTTTCTTGACAGAACACACCTTTTTTCGTGTCACGTGATGTGATGTGTGAGAGGCTCGATGGCACAACCCCCAAGATGTTTTTTTAGATTGGGGTCCATGTACAGTATATAAACATATATAAACAATCAAATTTTGGTCCCCTTGTGCCATCTACTCTGAAACCACTCTACCAGAATGCTGCCCCATAAGGTCGCCGCGTCAAAACAACTTTTCCACCACTTCGCTAGATGTTTTCGGACCGAAAAACGTCAAATGCGACGATGTGCATTGGACAGCTGAGCAGAAAAATAGAAGTCCGCAATGGAAAGACGTAGGATGTCTACATGTGGAATTTGGCTGCTCAAAGAGAGAGTGTTTTCACCCAAGGACAGATTCACTTTTGCTTAGCAAAATTGCAAGTTATTTTTTGCCAGACTCACCCAATTGTATATAATCCTCTTCTATCTGTCATTCACAGCTAATAATCAGAAGTGGGGACCCTGATTTCTTGCTAACCTTTTCAAGACCAGCTTCCTCTACCTGTGTGTCCCTCTCCATGTCTGTCTTGACACATAGCAAACTCCCTACGCATCACAAGGACGTGAATAAGAGTCCCTCCCCCAACAAGCAGGGAGGCTGTCCACTTCGAACTTGACTACCCATGTGTGGGTGTGCATTGGAATAGGGATACCCCAAACAGTAGGCACCCCAAACCATTGGTTGGGGGGTCTCCCTAGTCAAATACACACCCCTGGGCTGCGTAGTGTTGCTGTATGACCTGTGATTGCAACCTGTCTCGCACCCCAGGAATGCATAGAGCCCGTGGTGCCATTGCAGGTGTCGCTGCCACGATTCAAGCTGCCCAAGGTAGTCATTTGTCACATTGCCAGGACCCCCAAAACTTCTACCAATCTACTCATCCGTGATTCACCTCCAAATTGATATTCATAATATTCAATTATTCTTTAGATTCAACTGCCACTCTTTCCCCTGAACACGCCCGGTCCGGGCCGTTCTCTCCTCGCAGGTCTGTCCGCCCGTCCGGCAGGTGCGGTTTCGTGCTGTCGGCCCGGTCTGTCTGGGGACATGATGTTGAAATCGTCGTGTCGCGATGGCCTCCAACCTACAAAAATAGGGAGACCTGCTGGGATCGGAAATAGACTCTAACCTAGCCAGGGCAAATTCTCTCGATCTCAAAGAAAAACACCCAGCCATGGCTGGGTCAAGGACTGCAAGCCCCGGATGAGCGAGCTTCCAAACCTGGCGCCGCTGCACCGCCTTGAGGTTCGACGGCGGCTCCCTGCCTCTTTCAACGAAGCACCAGCAGGTTGGACTTGACATTCTTCAGAGATTTAGTACATTCCAAGAGGCGAGGATTCTGGAAGAATGGTTGCCAGCAGTCCAAGAAAAGTCTGTCTTGCTTTTGGATGGGAAACACCTTGCTTTCTGGTTTCTTCCGACCAAGTGGCTGGATTTCTTGTCTGGCCGAACTAGCAGCATGTTCACCGCAGACAAGGCCAAGAAGGCGAAGCTGATGTGCAGGACTGTCAAACGTCTTTTTCCTGCACGCGTTTGGCGGCGCTTAGAACGGCTGTGTATGTGCTGCTGCAAGACCGGTTTTTTGCAGTCGTGTATCTATGGTTCGAGTTCCGTTTTGGTGAGCAAGTTGGTTGATTGGGAGTCATTCACAGAGAAACTGGGTATAGATAAGATGATATTCACACTGTCTAAGTCTAAGTGACTTGATGTCAGCAGATACGAGCAGTGCAAGCTGGAGACTTCTGAGCATTTGGCTCTCGAGCTCGGATTCCCGTTATCCCCAACAAGTTTCGACGCTACTTGGAGCAATGCTGCGCTTGGCAGTGGTGCTTCTAGGACTTATGGTGGGCTTCGGCGCCGAGCTTTGCCTCGATGATGGTGTGGCAGAAAGTGAGCGAGCATACATCCAGGCAGGTTCGGTGAATCTGAGGATGTTTCTTGAACTTTGCTTGATTCGTTTGATTGTCCTAAGGCATCCTTTCTATCATGCAAAAAAGCGCACATGCACATGGGCCAAATGGCCAAATTCCCTACCCTTGAAGTTTCCTGAACAAACATCACTTGCCAGTGTTTGAACCCTGCAATCAGGATGATTCCGGCAACAACATTCCTATCGGAGTTTTTGAAATGGCTTGGGCATCTTCCACCCTTCTTGCTGAGATGACAGCAGTGATGATTCGTGAGGTGCTTGGTTTCCACGCTCATGTAGATCCTACAGTGGGTGGGAATGGAGGTTCTCCTGTCTTCGCTTTGGCAGGATGTACCGACTTCAACGACAAAGTCAACAGGAAATGTGGTACCCAAGAAACAACGATTCATGTCAGCGTGGACTCCTGGATTGGAAGCTATGCTTCTACCCAGAATCAATTCGCCAAGGAGCATCCAAGACTTGCCGCGGAGGATTTGGGGAGCATGGGATATGTTGGCGAAGAATCCATGTACGTAAGCCAGGCTATTCTCAATGCAGCCTATAGTTGTCAGACCTGGTTGCCGCTGGTGCGGCAGCGAAACTGAGGTATCCAGTTGGGAGCACTTGTGCTGGTTTTGCCCTGGTTTCGCGTCCACTCGTCCCTTGCAGCCTCCGGCAGATTTGCTGCAGCGCCGCCTGGGATGGTATGCTGGGCGTCCTGATGATGCGGCCGTATTGCAACATATGGCAAAGGTGCGGCAGCAGCTTTTGGTTCTTAGCCCACTTCGGCGCCCTCCGGTGGCTGCTGAGGCGGTGCTGCAGAGCTGAGCTGCTGTGATGTGAGAATGGAGTGCCGCTGTCCTCGGGCACGCGCATTCAAAAGAAAAATCTCTGGACTTCTACAAGAGCTACTTTGCTCGTCTCAGTGCTGCCTTCTTTCTCAAAACAGATTCCTGGAAAGCGACCCCCACGCCAATTAGCAACTGCTAGTCTACTTTTTTGGGAAGCGAATACCAGGCATCGGGCAAAGAACATTGGCGACAATCAAACATGCTTCGTGTAGACATCAGGAACCATACCCTTAGAAGCAAACAAAGAACACTGGG